GATGATGATGATGATGATGATGATGATGATGATGATGATGATGATGATGATGAAGATGATTTTTTTGTCTCCTTAATTAATGGGCCTGGTGGACTCCACAAAGAAATCTTCGAGCGAGAGCGAGGCTCTTTTTCAGCTCAATTGTCAATATGCTTAGAGGCACCTCCACTCGTCGTGATGATGATATAATATATGATGGTCGTCTTCACATTGAGCTTTTTTTCACATTGAGGATTTACAGTTTTGATGAGAAATTAATCTTGAATTTTGCCTGGGTGGCGCCCGAGGCCTACTCTTCTTATCGATTTTAAGACCACCAGGGCCGTGCGCAACTTGCACACGGGAACTCCGAGATAAAAAAAAAAAAGGCTTATCCGAGAAGGCTGGGTGTTCGATCTTACCTACCTTAATTATGATCAGGGGTGTGGCTAAGAAGGAGCCAGAGGCATACTTCATGGCCAGACGTGAGAAGTTTAAAGTCTTTTGAGCTGAGAAAACAGACTCGCGGCGTTTGCCCTTGTGAAAACTTTGGTGTTTGGATTTTTATTTTGTTTTGTTGTGTTTTTTGTCTTTCTATATGATGCGAAGACTGCTAATGATTCATGATAATAATAATATCAATTATTATACTTGTAAAAATACAGTAAAACCCCCAATCAAACAAACAAACAAAAAAAACCCGAAAAAGTCCTCAGCGCAAGAGAGTAACAATAATAATTGTATCTGTAAAGCATATCCACGCTCTACACCATGCTCAATGCGCTTTGCAACCATTATAACTCTTAAATAGCTTATAGTTATAGGCCTACGCTGGACCAAGAACACTAGAGCACTCAGAAGTATCATCAGCTTTCCAGGAAGCATACAGAATACAGTGCAAGCAGCCGATTAAGCGCTCATTCGTTCAGACACGACAAGATCTTTCGCTGTCAATAGCAGGGTAACCATTCCAACCTGAGTGAAGAGATCAAATTTCACGTAAAGTTAGGCCTACCTTTTTCAAGGACGCAACGTCGGCTACCGAACAGGGATTGAGACCCCGATCTTACCGTTGAGATTGAGAGTTAGAGAGCCTACCGTGCTGATAGGCCAAGATAGCCGCTCTCCCAGGACCCCTTCAATTTGCACGGAGTTTCAAAACATGTACCATTACGACAACAAACAACATGGCTGGCGAAGTGGGAGATTTGATTGTTAAATACTCCAGGGATGAACATAAAATCTCCGGTTTACTAGGGTCTGATACGGTCAAAGACTTAAAAGATGCTATATACAAACTGACGTCTGTGCAGCCAAACCGTCAGAAGTTGCTAGGTCTGAAAGTGAAACGTAAGTAACCAACGTTGATACTTTCACTTTCAGAAATTATTAACACAAAAACTGACAAGTCACAAAGATCAACTCTCTACCTTCAGTACTCCAGTCCAACCGTTGTTTTAGTTTTAGTGTCGAGCGGCAGAATTTACTGTAGATCTAGAATGTAGATCTAGATCTACTTCATTGTATGTTCAAATCAGACTGTTTTTGATGGGACAGATGGTCAAGTTTGTTTTTGGTGCTTGTATTTTCTTATTTTTGGCAGTGCCCCCTGAATGTTTGCAATTTAACCCTCATCCTGCGGGAGCCGGGTTTATGTTGCCCGATAAGCCTATTTCGGCACCTCGCCTACGTTCTGGTCCCGAATCAGTGTAGCTCCTGGCTCAGCGCACGCGCAGCGCGCATCCTCTTACACGTGTCATTCGGGTCCCGAGTCGGATCCCCATTCACACAGGTCAAGTGTGTGCGCGTCAGTCTGCTTGAGTTTGTGTGCGTTTGTGGCCTTCTTCTAGAACCGCCTGCGTTGGTTCGTAATCGAGGCATACGTCTCATTCAAAACATGCCAAGTTGGTAGCTCTAGATGTTCGTCCAATGAAATTATAGAAAAGAAATTGACCCACTTAGACATGAGGAGCTCGAAAGGATAGATTAGTCAAGAAACAAGACTTCCATTTTTCTATACAAAATATTTCAAATGAGCTTGATTTTGTATGAAATGATACTACTTGATAAAAAATAAGCTTGTTTGATAGTTTTGAATACCATTGTGCAGGTACAAAGAACAATTTGAGTGTAAAACATTCGGAAAATGACATAAATTATCCCCTTTCGAACCTCAGGTCATTCATAACAACAAGAGCGTCCGGAAAGGTTATTCAAATGGGCGTAACTACTCGTAATGTCTTATTAGCTTGTGAGAGGGGGTTATTCATGTGTTTGTAACACTTTATAAATAGAAAGCTATGAAAGGATAGAGCGTTATTTTCATCATCGGTTAACACACTCCCGCGGTATTCATGGTGAAATCACACGTTTCCCGGCGCGCGCGCTGTACACCAACAGTACACACTGAGTGACCCTGGTGGCCTGCCCGGCACGTCCGACGTAATCGGTTGCTGATAAGATACGCATCTGGGCACAGACGCAGGATAAGAGTTAAGAATGATTTTGCTTTAGAATCTCTTTAAAAATTGTCACCCCCTCCTACTCCTCTTCCTGCCTTTGGCTTCTTCTTCCGTTCTCCCTTGTTACTTCTTTGTAACGACTTTTATTTTCAAATTGTCTAACGTTCCTAGGTCCGCACACGGGAAGAAGATCGCAGTCGTGTTCCACGCGCTGAGCGAGCGAGGCCTTGTCAACCGCTGCTGTTTTGCAGTGCCCGCCTTCGCCGTCTGTAAACTCTGTGTTGCATTCAGATCACCACTGCAATATTTTTCACACGAGTATTTCTGTGCTGTTTGCTCATTCTCTTTGAGCGACCGTAGCGTTTCAGTTTGACCTCTGTGCCAATGGTGGATGATTCAGGGCGCAGTGAACGTAGCCAGCAAACTACATTCACAGCGCTGTGAATGTAGTCAAGTCACTGCGTATTGTTTTACTGCAGCAGTAAAATTCCACTGTCAACAGGTTGGCCATACCATAGCGTCTGTTGAGATTTCAGACCAAGTTTATACATTTAAATTTGTTGAATGTTCAATCAAGTGTTTTCTTGCTCAACATACAGGGCTGCCCTTCATTTTATTTTTATTCAATTTTTTAAAAATATGATCGTAAAACCCCAAACCCCTGATTCCAATTTTTTTTTAAATGGCGGATCCCAACTCGCTGCCAACCTTCCAGGTTAAAAGGAAAGAAAAACTACCAGACCCGGACAGTCTACATCACTTTTCACTATGTTATGTGCAGATTCTAACTTTAGCATCCACTTTGTCTTTCGCCTTTGTAGTCGCCCAGTGCCACTTTGCCCTTAGAAAAACATAAAACTTCAATCAAGAGGTGCTGATTCAAAGAGTAAGTAAACATAGTGTCATTAGGTGGACAAGGTGTTACCAAATTCCAGTCCCTTTGTACTGTGTGATTCCAGCCAAGGCCAGTGAGAGATAGAGATATTTTTTAGAAAATGGATCACTGTTTGAAATTTAATGCCAAAGAGCCCTCTTTTCTGCCCGTTTTTTCTTAACTTGACCAGTTACGAGCCTGATATATACTTGCTTGACAATTACCCTGTAATGAGAGACCACTATTCATAGATAGAGGTATAGAATTAAGAATAAAACATTACGGATAGGGTTAGGTGTCTCTTCTTTAAATAGTATATTTGTTGGGGTGGTTGCTCATTATAAATGGAAGTCCTTCCCCTTTGAAAGTGTTTGCTTCAAATTGACTTTAGACTCTTCCTCGACGTAAAATCTGTTTCTCTTTGGGAGCTGGAATTGTACCATTTAAAAAAAAAGGCTTGGCATATTCAGTAATCATTATTGGATTTAGAATGATTTCTTTTAGCCTTAGATTAGAATTAAAAGTGTTGTCAAGTACGTAAGGAAGATTGCAGACTTTTAAAATTATGGTGGTAGTGGGCTTGTATGATGCTTGGAACTTTTATATATGTTCAAATGCATACTGGAAATAGGATAGGAATGGCCTGGGCAGTTCAAAATGCAGTAAAAGCATTTTGATCTCTGATTATTTTGGTGGCATAAATGGAACGTTCAAGAACTGTTGTAGCAAATTGGGATAACTTACTATCTTCTTCGTCTTGCTCTCGGGTGACAGAGTATTTAGTATTACATTGAAGGGGCTGTGTGAATTGGTTCTCCCTTCACTAAGTTACAGGATAGATACCCATCAATGGTTAACATAATGCAATATGTCATGACTGCTTACGTGGATACCTGGAGGTGTAATCTCTGACTCAGAGGTTGACGTGTAATGACCCTCCATCCCGCGAGCTGACGTTGCACATTCTGCTATATCCAGGCCAGTCCATGTTCTTATGTTGTCCATCCATGTTATTCTTTGCCTTCCTCTGGCTCTCCTGTCCCACATCTTTCCCACATGATTGCTTGCTTTCTCTTTAATGAAATTGGTAAGTTACAATATTGGTGATATCGTATAATATATGAGGCACTGATTTATAAGGAGCAAGTTTTGAAACTCTCAAAAAGTGTTTGTGAGGCAACAGTTCAAATTTAAAGTAGAGCTACATTTCTTCAGGGTTAAGATACACTAAGTGAACCACGCAAAATGTTTTCAATGGTTTTGCCGTACACGTTAATTTGCTGCCTATGCATGAGATACTTGTTACTATTTGTTTCAGCGAGTGACCTAGTTGATGATATGATGTTGTCAGCACTGAAGTTACGACCCAATATGAAGCTGATACTCATGGGGACGAAAGAAGAACAGATAGTATGTTGAGTCTCTTTGTGACTGGCTGAGTGGTTGTGCTTATTACAGTACATTTTAAAACAAACATTCTTTGCAAGAGGCAATGGCTAATTCTTTTTGGACATTTTTCCACAATGGCCAGTTTCTAATTTTAAAGGGTGACCTTATTTGGGCCACAGTGTGGCCTAAATAAGCTAAACCCCCCTCCCTTACCTTATTTAGGCCACACTGTGGCCCAAATAAGCTAAACCCCCCTCCCTTACCTTATTTAGGCCACATCATATGGTAGATTTCTTGAACTAACCATGGATTCGGAAGGTCGAGATTCTACTGATCTTTTTATTTAGTGCGGGGGATTATTTCAAAATAGAGGATGATTCTAAATAAGTGGACCAAGTGTAAGAGTTGTGTGTGTGTGTGTGTATGTGTTTGTTTTGTGTGTGGTTGTGGTGAGAGAGAGAGAGAGAGAGAGAGAGAGAGAGAGAGAGAGAGAGAGAGTAAATGTAGTAGTGTGTTTGTATGTGTATGTGTAATGTGTGAATGTTATTGTGTGCATGAGTGTCTATCTCAGTTGTACGGTCCAAATGTACATTATTTTGTTGAGAATTTTACATAGAACTCAACTACAAAACACCTTTATACAAAGTCACAGAAATATTCTTTTTGTGCTTATTGAGGTGCAGTACAGGGTGATTAAAACCTGCAAGGATAATTGGACAAAATGGGCAATATCTTACTAATGGTCATATTTAGACAAATCCTATATCATTCTCTTTTTTTCTTAACAGCTCATGGTTATTAAAGAGTCAGCAAACTAGATCAAGGTAGTAATTTCGGATTCCTAATATTATGGGCATTCTTTAAAAAATTTAAACTTGTTTTTAGCGCTTTTTTCAACGTAAAACGGATTCCGTTAAAAAAACAACAACAACAATGACCTTATCTTTCTTTTTTAAGGTATTGTGCATACATTTGTGTGAAACTATTTTATTCTATGCTTTCAAGTACATGAAAAAAGCTAATAAAATCAAGCAAAATGTTCTTCAGAGACATAGATCTAGTAGTAAGCCCACTGGAACATTTTATAAACCGTGAAAAGATCACCAGAAAATAACAAAATTATCTTATGATTTTCACTTGCACTTGCAATTTTTTTGACAAATTATCGTCTACCTCGTTATCTTTTTTTTTTTACATTTTTCTTCACTATTCATGACAACTGGCATGTTTTCCAGTTATTATCAAGGAAGTGGATAGGCGGACCACGGGGTCTATCTAGCCCCAAAAGGATAGGTGGACCGCGGGGTCTACCTAACAAAATGCTGTTTTAGGATGTGAACCCTGGAATCAGCGTAGTGAAATAAGTAGATCTAGGTTTGACTAAGGATCGGTGGACCCCGGGGTCAACATAGTGAAATAAGTAGATCTCAGTTTATTTTATAGTAAGACTGGCGGAGCCCGTGGTCAACGTAGTGAAATTATAAGTAGATCTAGGTTTAATTAAGGTTTGGTGGACCCTGGGGTCAACGTAGTGAAATAAGTACATGTAGATCTAGGTTTAATTTTAAGGATTGGTGGACCCAGGAGTCAACGTAGTGAAATAGGAAGGTTTAGGTTTAAGGTGGACCCCAGGGTCTACCTAACGAAATTTAATACTAGTTAGGTTTTAGAATAGGTGGACCATGCGGTCACCGTAGTAAAATAAGTAGGTTTAATCACGGTGTCCCGGGGGTCCACCAATTCTTAATTAAACCTTCTTATTCCTCTACGGCTATGGTGACTCCGGGGTCCACCAATCCTTTTAAAATTAAACCTACTTATTTCACTACGGTGACCCCGGGGTCTACTAATCTTTAAATAAATCTACTTACATGTATTTCACTACGGTGACCCCGGGGTCCACCTGTCCTAAAACCTAGTATTTTGCTAGGTAGACCCCGTTTTTAACAATATCCAGAAAATAACATAAAATGGGTATATAGATCTATATCTATAAGTATTTTATTAAGTATATACTTAAAAATAAAAGACTGAGCAGAGGCTTACAATGTAAATTCTGTGCTCTACACGTAGAGAAAGTCTTAAGTTTGCGCAAAACAGATTTTAGAAAAAAAAGTTGATCTAATTATTCTAATAAAAGTAAAAGTGATTGTTATGGTGAGATTTGTTATTATTAATTCTGGAAATACGGATAGTTGCTGAATCTAAAATTAACTAGAACTGTGCAATTCGTTTTATTTCAATTCCAAAGCCCAAAGGCATAGCAATGAGTTAGATCTAGATCTAGCAGTTGTAGGCTCTCTGGCTGCTTCTAACATTTATCTGCTACTACTGATTCTAGACAGGGAATCTAGATCTAGATCTAGCTATCACCTGCACTATTAAAGTCAAATATATGGTAAAATAAAAACAAAACTGTGAATCGCTTTGTCAGTCAGTACATCCCAATTGCCATAGCAGCACGTATTAATAGTTGAATAATTATACCGAAGCAACATGTTATCACAGTGTGCAGGGGAGAGCGGGGTGCCCGGGTCGCTGACCGGTCGATTCGGTGGTTCGGCTTTTGTAGATCTATGCATTTTTTACGGAAAGCCCTATTACTAGATCTATTAGTGTTGTGAAAACTTCAACCTCTACAGCTAAGGCGGCAAAAGATGTTGGAAAATAATAATACGTCCTGAAGTTTCATAATTTATACAGAATAATACAGCCAGTAGTTTTTATCTCATCGAGTTATAAAAATGGCCTTGTAACTTGTTTTCAGAAGCAAATTTTAATAGTTACAGTTCTACCGAATCGATTTTCACTCAAATTCAACCATTTTGATGACCATTTCTTTTCCTTTTAAAAAGATAAAGGCCTGTCGGATGTGGCAGTGCGATTAACACTAAGTTGTTTAGACCCATCAAAACACAAGGCTTCGTGGCCGATCACAAAGGTCTACGGGCTTATCGAGGCCGATTCGCCCTGCCGCGTGCACGTTCACTAAACTGCCTACTAGATAGAATCTACTACCAAAGATTCTTCTCGATCTTTGCTACTACTACTACTACTACTACATCTACATGTAGGCTACTACTACTAGACAGTACGAGAGATGTACTACTACGAGACAGTACGAGAGAGTGCCACCCAGGCAAAGATAGTGTAACTTTGACTCAGCCACGTTGTGTACACACTTTTTATACCCCAAATTTGACCCGGAAGTCCATTCGGAGGATTTGACCTTTTTACTTGACCAAAGTGTGCCAAAATGGTAGCCTAGATTTTGCCCCTCCATGAAGGAAAAATCTGGCCCTCATTCAAACCATTGAGATTGAGCAAAACTTTGCATATCGTGCTTTGTTCTTACAATATTCATTATGATATATATAAGTTGTACACTGAGACAAAACTGTACTAAATGAGAAAGGTGCACCATTATGAAAGTGGAACGAACTCAGTTGCTTTAAAAGGGTGTCCCCTGGTAGTTTGAGCATGTGTGGCCTAAATAAGCTAAACCCCCCTCCCTTACCTTATTTAGGCCACCTGTGGCCTAAATAAGCTAAACCCCCCTCCCTTACCTTATTTAGACCATATGTGGCCCAAATAAGCACTCCCAATTTTAAATTCGTTAGCAGCTGCTAATTTTAATTTTAAGTTAATGTGTTCTGTGTTAGATAATTAGACCACTGTAATTTTTTCTTTGTTTAAAATATTCATAGTTATGCATCATTTCCATATTTTGTTTTCAAATATTATTTCAGGGGAATTAGGTTGAAGTGTAATTTTTGGTGTTTTCCAAAACTGCATTCAAGAGATAGTTGTAATTATCACATGCCCAGATTTTTTGTGGTAATTTATACGCAGTGACTGCTGTTTAGAAGCAAAGTGTTGAAGTCTGCATTTTAGTTTGAAAGTCTGGTTAGATGCTTGCATTTTTTAATCACTTAAAATGTGTTACTACTGTGCATTTCGGGAATTTCTATGCTTATATCCTACTCTTTCGGGGGTTTTTTTTGTAGTGGCCTTGTACTGTTCCTTCATATTGATCCAAAATGTCTTTCCATGGGTCTGTAGCTGGAAGTTGTAATGTATTTTTGTGTTTCTGTCATTCAGGAAAAAGTTTCAGAGACCCCTACAGATTTGCCTGAAGTGGTCAATGATTTTGACATCGAAGAGGAAGAAATTGCCGTAGAAAACAGGTTTGGCTCATTTATTTTGTTACCTTTTTTTTTTAAACCTCTGAACCTGTTTTTGTTGGCAAATTTCATGAGCCATTGCCAGCGGTTCACTTGCACACAAGTTTTGACCACAAGCTACTGGGAGCAACTTACCAGAGATATGGCGTTAAGTGGACTCCACTGTATATTAATCAATCATCCACCAAGGAAAAAAATTCAAGGAAATAGAAGGATGCCTGCATAAGTTTCATAAGCTTCTGAAGCATGAAATTTGCCAATAAATACAGGTTCAGAGGTTTAAAAAAAAAATAGGTGCTGAACGCTCTTTTACCGGGAGTTCATTTATTAGATGAAGAACAGTCAAAATAGGTTCACGTTAATGACCAGTTTAGTGACGTATATGTCATTTGTAGATTTCGTACCAAAAGAGGACCCTGGCATAGTAGGTTTACCGCCTTACAGATAGTTAATCTGAATATAGTCAATTTGAAAACAATGGTAAACTGAAAGAAAATAAAATCCCCATTTTTTTTTCTGCCTTGTCCCTTTATTGTAAGAAAACTATTGATTTGCTGAAATGCCTCCATTTCTAAATCAAAAAGAATTTTTAGGGCTATGTCATCTAAATCTTCACTAGCAACTCTCAAGTAATGCAAACCATCAAGTCTTATGAGCTTCAAGATAGCGATACAGAAGGGAAAAAATATCAACTAACCCTAACATTATATTTACTTTAAAAAAACAAGGTTGCTTAAGATTATTGAGTAAATGGGTAAAGAGCAGAAATCGCCCTTTTTTTCCAAAACTTGAAAAAAAGTAAGCCTCGCATAATGTCACAAAACTGGTGATATCTGTTTGTAAATACCTGTATAGAGTATTTTATCTTAATTTGGATAGTTTTGTTTTTATTGAGGGTCTGGGGAATAAAGGTATTAATCACTCTTCATTCTCAAATTTTTAAATTATGATGGTACTATATTTTGTCAGTACCAATTCTACACAATAAAAAGTGACAGCTGTTTTCTGCCATGTGTTTGAATGATGAAAAAAGAGGAGATTAATTTGTGTGTATTCAACTTCTTTTTGTTTTACCTTTTCTTTAGAGAAGAGTATTTGGCCAAGATAGACAGAAGGATCAAGTCTTATAAAATAAATACTCTGAACGAGTCTAGACCTGGGAAGAAGCTGCTGGTTTTGGACATAGACTACACATTGTTTGGTGAGGTGATATTTTATTTATTACTTTTGTTTACTGTTGTTATGTTATCCTTTATTTTTAAAAAGTATTCCCCAAAATAAATGATAATAAAAAGAAAAATAATAAATTGAGCCCCTAAAGATGGGGCCTACAAAAAATAAAATGCTTAAATTTACAATAATAATATTCTTTTCAGCCAGTTGTTGAAAACTTTGGGAAACCATACATTTTTATTAGAAATCCTTTTCAAGAATCTTAAGATAATCATTATCACATGAGGTTTAAATTAATTTTGACTAGGGAGGCTAAATGTCATAGACAAGAATAATTGTGGAAAAAACCAAAGATATTCCTTTCTTTCTGTCTAAATGTGTGGTGCTTTTGTTATTGTTTATATTCTGATGTTTATTCCAGACCATCGGTCCACTGCTGAACAAGCCAATGAGTTGATGCGTCCCTTCTTACATGAATTTCTCACTGATGCCTACAAGAATTATGATATTGTTATATGGTGTAAGTATTTAGAAACTGCCTCCAGGTGTATTTTTATAATGACAATATGATAACTTGAAATTAGAAGCATAAGCATTTAACTGAGGATACCAATATCTTTTATTGATTTTTAAAAAAGATATTATCTGGTAATCTATGTAATGACTCAAAGTCATTTCCTATATATGTTTTGCGACAAACTATAGCTTATACTTTTTATTTTTATTATCTTCTTTGACAGGCTCACTTTGTACTTTTGTGACTGACTGTCCTGTTTACTTTTGTTGTACGTTTTAGGGATTAGATCTAAAAAGGGACTAGGACGGGGACATTCTTGAGAGTTCCCTCATGCATACAACTTTTTTCTCTCTCTCAGCTGCCACAGGGATGAAATGGATTGAAACCAAGTTGAAATTGCTCGGGGTAGCCACTCACCCAGATTACAAAATCTGCTTCTACTTGGATTCAGATGCCATGATCTCAGTCCACACCCCAAAATATGGAGTTATTGAGGTATGCGAAGTCTTTTATTGACTTTTCCTTTAAATTGTTACTGTAGAGTACTTTTTTCATTTCTGTATGTCTCACCCGGTCAAGCTGTTATAGTGGCTTAAGTACTGGTAGAAGTGGTTATAATTATGGTGAGAAATTCTTACTTATTCTCTTGTACTGGTATGTTGCTCAGCTTCTGTGTAAAGTTTGAAGGGTGCATCATTTTACTTCTTATGTTCAGAAAAAACCTTTTGGAATAGTTATTCAAGCGATGTTTTTCCTTTTGAGTGCTTGCTTCTCTTGCAGGCAACTTTGTATTTTAGTCAGGGTCTACTTTTTTTAATCTTCTCCCATTCTCTGAGTCTGTCGCATGAGCTATAAAAGTACCATGGGAACTCCTGATCTATCTAACATCTTTGTGTTGGAAATCTTGTCTTGCCTTGTTAAAAATCTTTCTCAGAAAGGGAGATTTCTCTCTGATGTGCTCAGGCCACTTTCATCTGATGCTGACATTTTTATGTTACCGTCGACTCCGCTTGAGTTGACCTTTGGTAAAGTTTATCTTTTTCTTGGGTTTCAGCACCCATTCTTCTTTACAGATCCCAACAGTTAAGTTGAACTTCAGATGAGTTGTTCGTAGTTGACTGTACCAGACTTCTTTGGTAGTTTACATGACTCGCCACCACAGTAAGCATAGTTTGGTCTTTGGTAGTGTGTCGTAGAGCATCTGTTCAAGACTGCACAAAGCAATTAACACCCCTTATCCACCATTCCTTGAGTCCACTTAACTCCATATAAGAAAAAGAAATATATAAAAAATAAGAAATTACTGATCCGATTAGTCAGTTACTGGCTCTCATGTACTGAATACAAAGTTGTTGTGTTTTGTTTGCTCAGGTCAAGCCTCTGGGAGTCATCTGGGGCAAGTACCCTGAGTGGAGTGAGAAGAACACCATTATGTTGGATGACATACGTCGCAATTTCATCATGAACCCTCAGTCAGGACTCAGGGTAAGTATCTAGTAATATTAATGTGTTGTGTCTGTGGTAGGGAGGGGAGAATGGAGAGGTTTCTCAGTTTAAAAAATAATATTCTTTTCTGACATATATTATCAAAAGAAGTGTTTTGGAGGGTTTACTAGCTGGTTGTAAAAGCTGAAATGAATTACATGAGCAGTACAGTATTTGGATGGTGTAGACTGCATTTAGAAAGAGTTTGAAATATTTGATGTGTCTGAAACTAGCAGTCCTGTGGCTTATGTTCTCCATCATACTTGTGCAGGCATCAGCTGACAATGATGGGACAATAACCCTCTCTTTGCCAGGCGGTATGTGTTCCTACTGTCAGCACTGATTTTTAGCTAAGCTCCTTATCCAGATCAGCAGTCTTCCGTCAGAGTGTTAGTGGACCTGCGGTCTAGATCTAGCCCACTCATGACATGTTTCGGACCCCAGATCTTCGATCGCGTCACTTTCCTCATTCCTTATATCCCCGTGTTGCTCATAATTTCGAATCTTGCAAATCTTAAGTTAAAAAGTGAAATTTTTCTTGTTTTTTTTTTATAGTCATTTTAGTGTTAACAATTTGTGAGAGCCCACAGTTGTCCACAAGACTAGATCTGCATTTATCGATTGCTTGAAAGCCTAGCAGTAAAGTAATTTTTGTCAAATTTGGTACCGATATGCACAACTTTTATTCCCGAATGCGAATCCATACATTGCTTGTAGCTAAAAATCTTTTCAGAAGAATTAGAGCTAGGTGAATGGTGTGATGAATATGTACCTCTTGACTCATATAGGCAGCTGTGAGTGGCAAATTTTGCGAATTTCCATGATAAAGCTCAAAGCTAAAAATTATATAAATTACGTGACGTATCAGGTACATCAAAACCCAACAAAGGAGTAAATGACCTGTGACATACCTACTTGTGAGTGTAAGTTCATGGATTTAAACCTTAGTGAAAAAAAAAGCTTGATGGCTCTGGCAGATTCTTTTCTGAGACAATTGAAGCTGAAAAGCATACAAGAGTAATCCCAGTCTATCTTTGCGATATTTTCAGACTTTTTTTTTCAAAACTTGTTGTAAAACAAGTAACTTGTTTTGAATATAGTGCCCATAAAAGTCAAGTAATGTCATTGCTTGTCAATTTTATTCAAGATCAAGGCATTTCGTGACTCACGTGTGAGTAGATTCACGGACACGGAGCTGATCAAAATGACGGAGTACTTAAACTGCATTGCTCTCCTGGAAGACTTCACAGCCCTTGACCATAGGAACTGGCGAGAGTAAGTGGAACTGCGACTCAATCACTTTCAGTTCAAGTTTTATTTTCCCTGAATCTTTAACGTTTTGTGCTTTTATTTTCATTGAACGTGAATTATGTTTTTTTAATGGGGAACTTTTGGCTAGAGGTATGGAAAAAATGATTGATGCAGGGTTGATGTACTTTGCCGTTAGAGACAATCATTTGTGTCACGACGGGGTGGAATCAGGTGCTTGTCAATTTTGGGGCGTATAGAGTTATTAGTGTAGTCTTAAAGCTTGTTCATTTGCCTTGGATTTGGGGAAAAACACCAATTTATCTTAAATGGAAGTCAGAATATTTGAGATTGAAGGAGGTAGGGGGGCTCTTGTAGTCTCAAGGTTATTGGTATTTGCCTCTCATTCAATAGATCCCAGGTTCAAATCTGGACAGCGTATGAAAATTTTCTTCTCTAAAATGCTCTCCTTTCACTTCCTTTTCTGCTCTCTAACCATGTTCTGTTCTCTGCTTTCCTCTCCACTTTTTGCCCCCTCCACCCCCCCCCCTCCCCTTTGCCCCCTCCTCTGGGCTCCTTACTCTTTCTGCAGCCTTTCTACTGCTACAACTCGGCTCCTTCTAACTGCTGTCTTTCATTCACACCCCTTCTTTGATAAGGGTGAAAAATCTCAGAGGTCCGCGTGTGCAAGTTGCGCACATTAAAGATTTCTTGGTTGTCCTAAAAATCGATAAGAGTAGGCTTCGGCCGCCACCTGAGCAAAATTCAAAATTTCCTACCAACTGAAAAATGTTTAATGTGTCCCGCACGCTCATATGACCTTATGAAGTTGTGAGCGCCGTAAAACACTTACCAAAAAATAAAAGAGGTAGGGGTTGCCTGATGTTAGACCAAACTTCCAAAGCTTGACAGTCCTTGGAAACTGGAAATTTACATTCTTTGAGCCTTTGATCAACATTTTTCTGTAGCGTCCACACACAGAAATGTGTTTTTAAAAAGGACATTAAAGATGGGGAGCCACATAAAGAAAATTTGGACCAAAAAAAATTGCTCAACGCCCAGAAAAATGCCAGTTTCCGTGATCTCATTGTTCTGACGAGTGCCTGATTTCCTTACGCTGCCTCACATTTTTCTCCTAGTCTAGCAACTCCCTTTCAGTTATTTCAGGCTTCAAAGAAATTTTGCTCAGGGTATTGAAGGGTTCAATTAAGGTTATTTTTTAATTGAATTAACATTTTTTTGGTCTATTTGCAGGTATCGAAAAAAGAGCAGAGACAAAGAGTCAAGGACTTCAGATCGACCAAGTACTCAAAGTTAATAATAACCATTATTCATTCCAAAACTGCTCTCCACTCTTCTTTGCCATGTATAGAATTAGGCCTTTTCACGCATTTTTGATTTTTTGGTCATATTGCAGTAATCCTTGACTTTCTTAGAGATTATACGTTTTGCATTGCTTCCAATGCAGTTTGTGAAACCCATACTGCCCCCTGTTCTACCATCTGCTGACAAAAGGCTTTTTTTTCATTTTTTTGTGCCTTCTACAGAGAACCGCATAAGACAAATAAACTTAGATTTTTAGACTTGCATTTTCCCTGGCTTCTTCAACTGAACTCCTTCTAGTAATACTGTACGTCACTAAACACTGCAAACAGAAACGTGTACAGTTCAGTGGACTATGTCTGAATGGCTTAAGTAGATGTGCTTGAGACAGATAATTTTGCTCTGGACAGGTGCCAAGTCAAGTCGGACAGAGTTTTCCAATTTTGGTGAAGATAGGAAATTGGGGGTGGGGGGAGGGATGGGTAAAAGTTTGTGGTAGTTTCAGTGGGCTGAGACAGTCCCAGGGAGAACATCTCACGACATTCTTCTGTGGCATTAATTGGCATCAAACAAAAATGGTTTGCTTGAAAATTTCTTGATAAGTTTTGAGATCTCAGTCCATGTCATAAATTGCCAATTGTTTTATGACTTCCTTTTGTCTGCCTTCAGTATCCTTTCTCTCTTGTTGTCTTTCTTTAACTGTTCATGTGCGTAGAGGATTTCGTTCTGACCGAAGCCTCCCAGTGACTGATCCTCTACAGCAGTAGGGTGGGTTACAAAAGTCTATATAACTTTCAAACTACTAGGCCCACATAAAAACTTTTGGTATGTTTGTGTTCAAAAATTAAAGTTGCATTCATTGGTGTTCATTTTATATGCATTTATTGAGTATAAAAATAGACTATTGAAGTAAATGGTCATTAGCGAAAAAAACTGTTGCAATATTACATAACACCTTTCACAAAAATATTGGTGTAACTTTATAAAACTTTTACACAGAGCCAAAGTAAAAGAAACAAAAATGTTGATATACATCCTAGGATTACATCTATGGTGGCTGTAGCTGCTTTGAAGCCCATTCTTTTGAAATACACACAAATATAAAATGTTGTATCAGAACCCACATTCGGCATAAAAAGTGTAAACACAGCTAGATATGTCTATTTACACACTTTGTTATACAATAAATCAAAGGCTTACATCTATAGTTTTGTCTGAATATACATAAATATGAAGACTGTGTCTTATGCACATTTTCAAAGTAATTTTGAGTAATTCTTTGAAGTATCCAGGTGTAAGATAAGGTGTACAATAACCATTTAAAAAATGTCACATTCACACACACACAAAAATTTCACTTTCACATACATATATATGATGAACTAACCTGAATAGAGCATCAGCAAGATGCAACATGTAGATTAATATCCAAATTGAATGAAAATTTTGTCTTTGTATAATCCAAACAAGAAAACTGTCACTTTTATAATTATTTCAGGAGCAATCTTTGTCCCATGTATCCACTGTTTGTCTCCAATGACATGAAAAATCAACACACACACAAATTCTGTACAGTACACTATTTACAAGTGAAGAAAATTCTCACTAGGCATTTCTGTGAGTATGGTATTTGTAAAAACAGTTCTTTGGGTGCAGAAATGGTCTGTCACTACGACCTGAGCAGACAAAAACTGTTCTTTTGCGTCCCCCACCTGGTCCGCTGCACGCAACACAATTTCCGTCCCTCCCGTCATAATGGATGAGAGGCATCTTGGATGTGACAAAGCGCTCACATGAAACTGACTTTGCAGGATCCACATTGTTGTTCAGGGTAATGTTGAACTCCATTTCCTCCACCAACGTACTTTTGAACTTACGAAGCTCAACACGCTTGTCGTTGGGATGTGCGAGGGTGTAAAGAATATGCGCATTGACTTGGGTGATTTCTAACAGCCAGAAAATAATTTTCTTCCACCATTTTTTAGAACGGCACTCATGCACACCGTAATATGAAATATTTTGGTCGGCTGCGTCAAAGCCATTCATTGCTTGATTGTATTCAACAACCATCGCTGGCTTGCTAGCTTCACCGCCATTTGCACGAACAGTTTTCATTTCAGCATTTGCATTTGTAGAAACAAGAACACATGGTTTTTTCGCTTTTTTGTCTCTCCAAGCAACACACAAAATCTTGTTGTCGTCTCCCATATACCATCTTGTTTCCTTATGCTCTAGTTTTCGTGTCTTCAATTCCTGCGGAACTCCTTTTCTTGTGACTTGAAGAGTCCCTGTGAAGTATAGGCCTCGACTACTAAGGTAGTCAACCACAGGCAGCGCGGTATAATACCTATCTGCGAATATGGTGTGCCCTTTTCCGATATTTGTCAGCAGTGTTTGAAATACCTTCTCTGCCTGCAGAGATTTTGTGTCACATTCTGGGTCATAAGAGGTGTCTTTCCCGTAGTACAAAAGAAGGTTGTAAACATATCCGGTCAGGCTATCACACAGTCCAAAAGTTTTGATATGGTATTTGTGCGGTTTTGATGCGTTGAACTGCTTATTTGCCCATCTCCCTTTGAAACCGATTATCATCTCATCAATTGACAAATTGTCAAAAGGTTAAAATGCTGACTGAAACTTGTCAATCAGCATATCTATGAATGGCTCAATCTTGTCCTTTTGCTCCCCACCAGCTTCACCAGCTTGTAGCATAGTATCGTAAATAGATAAAAGTCTGTCACGGCTAGGGAAAATCTGGTAAAACCAAGGAGTATACCAATAGGAGGGGGATTTTGTAAAATAATCCCTAACTCGTTTTTTTTCCCATACCAATGACAATTAGCACCATCAAAAATCTATAAAAAGTTTCTCTGTCAATGTCTTCCCATTCACCATGAACAGAACGTTTCTTGGGTGGATTGTGTTGCTGTCCTTACAACTTGGCATAGTCGTTGATTGAATTTACGAGAAAGTCAACAAGCGTGTTGTCAAGTAGAACTTTGAAGCACTGCAAAGCCGTAGACGTATGGTCCAGGTTTGCATTTACTTCAGCTGGACGTGGAGCAGCAAGTCAAAAGTTATTTGAAGTTTTGACTTCCTTTTCTTCGTCGATCTGCTTCCACTGAACCTGGCGGTCAGCCGTTGCCGGATCATCTATGGTGGGAAGTAAGTGCTGTAAGTCATTTGAAGTAACAGCACTGTGACTGGGTCTACTAGATTTCCCCCTTCCTTTGCCCGTTCCTTTACTTTTACCTTTACCACTGTAGCTGGTAGTACTGACACAGGAAAGTAGGGCAGAAGCCCTAGGTACTTTACGACATGTAGGTCCTTGAGAAGTAGAGGGCATGCAGGGGGTTGTGGATATTCTTTCAGTATCACTTACTGCGCTGTTCCTGTCAGAATCTGAGAAATTGTCTGGATCAAAATCATCGTTATCACGCACAGTAGAATCACTACAGAGGCTATCAACATCTGTGTCAGGGCTTTGTAGGAACAAATCGAGCGCTTGTTTAGCAGTGAGACGCTGAGGTAGCCTACCTCCTTCAGCCATGATGATCTCCGTATCCAGCACTAACAATTTAGACTCCGAAAATCAGCTGTTCGGAAACATACCATCAGATCTAGCAAACGCACTTCAACTAACACTATAAAATGAAAGTACAAACAGAAATAGACCTATTTTCGGCATTTGCGGCCTTAATTTCGGTTGATGTCGTGAAATATTACTTTCGCATGTATTTATAGAAGGCTAGTGTAGTGAGGCGCTAGGAGCGGCTTGCCGGCCAAATCCATTTCACGTGGAGCCGCTCCCACCGGCTCACCAGACATGAAGGACTTATTCATCACGTAGAACTGACAACATTTGTGTCATAGATAATGTCGTGAGTTCATAATACAATCATGCAATCATCACCATCAGGAGTTGGTGAAACCCATACTGCCCCCTGTTCTATCAAACTTGTTTTTGAATAAATCAGAATTTGAGTTTTGGGAAAATGCCTATTCTTTAATGGTTACACTGACAAGATGTCTTTTTTCTCGAAACTTCGCTGAATTAAAAAAAAAGGCGTTTTCTCAGCCAACGACAGTGTTGACCAAATCCCATTTTGAGTGTGAACTCTCTGATCAAAGAGTTCTGAAGTACATATATATATCTATGCCTACTTCCAGTTCCTTTGTTGGCGGCATGATCTAATGATTTCATCCTCCCAGGGCTAAACATTTTTTTCCACTGTAGACAGGCTGTCTTGTTAAATAAAATTAATGGATTTCAAAATTTTATTTTCGCAATAGATAAAGTTCTCATCTTTTACGGATTGCCACCTTAACACTATCCAAGCACGCTGCGCGCAGAGCGTGCAACACTTATCCACACGGACCAGGACACTGGTGCGGTACTTGTTATATCACACCAGTGCCGATCGGCATCCCGTGGAGAAAAGGTAATAATAATAATAATATGTAACATTTATATAGCGCGTTTCCAAAAAAGTAGCTCAATGCGCTTTACATTGGAATACCCATTTTTCGAAAACCTTTCTTACTACTTCCTTTCTTTTCATACAATATATATTAATGCACACACACACACACACACACACACACACACACACACACACACACACACACAGAGAGACTATTTTCATCCAGACATAGGAACAGAACAACTGTAGTGAGAATTAACGTTAAAAGCTTATGAAGGATAGGCCTGTAGGAACAGAAAATGTTTAAGATGTGTTTTGAAACTATCAAGTGTTTTTATTTGTTTTAGTTTCATGGGTAATCTGTTCCACATAAATGGACCAAGATATGAGAAAGATCTCTCTCCATATAATTTGTATGATTTTACAGGTGTCACAAGTAGGGCGTTATCGTTTGATGATCTTAGGTTTCTCCCTGGCTTATACATACTGATAAGTTCTTGTAGATAAAAAGGAGTAGTTTTATTTACACATTTGAAACACATGACGCATATTTTAAATATTCTTTTTTTTACAGGGAACCAATGCAGTTCTTTTAATAATGGAGTGACATGGTCTCGTTTTTTAGATCTTGTTATCAGTCTAGCGGCATTGTTTTGAATTACTTGTAAACGATTCAAATATTTGTTGTTGAGACCTGCTAGGAGTGAGTTACAATAGTCTAATCTAGATAGAATAAGAGATGTTACCAGTGTTTTTGTGGTCTCTTCGTTTAAGTACTTTCGAACTAGGCCTATCCTTCTCAGCTGAAAATAAAGGGATTTGGACAGAGATCCTACAAACGAGCCCATTGATAAGTGGTGGTCAATATATACGCTGAGATTCTAACCGTCGCCGATCGGCGTCCCATTGGGGCAAGGTGTGAAAATGTTAAATAACATACAGTAAAACTGTTTATCAGAAAACAAATCAAAGTTTTTCACCTGATTTAAGTTTGACTGCAAATAACACTTTGACTTTGATGTGAAAGATAAATTTTGTAATGGGAAAAAGGGATTCTGGATGTAGTTTATTATGAAAGATTCATTTGGTTTTACATTATAACACAATATTGGGGTTATTGTGTGCTATAGACCTACTATCAGCATGACATTGTTGAGATTCAAGATGGATGTTAAATTATGATATGGATTGCTTGTTGGATGCGATTCCCAAAAATTTCAAAGAATGAAAGATTTCTTGGTATGATGCTTTTTCCATTTATGCTGCCATAAAACAGTCATGCTGTACGCTATCAGTGCACTGCTTTCTTTTCTCTTCCTTGACTGGATACAAGTACAAGACATGAGTGAATGATTCTGTTTGTCTTAGCTGGTGGCTGCAGCAGAGTAGATCCTGACCTTGATCTGCTAGATGGAAGTTCAACTTGTCAATCCTATTGGGGTTTGAATTATTTTTCGTGTCGGTAGATATGTTTTTTCTGAACCTGGCAGGAGATCAAATGATTCCTTTATAATAACCTATATGTTACATTGTGTTGGGTAGGGTTTGACCTTTTAATTAAACAACGAAACTGATTCTCTCTCTCTCTCTTTCTCTCTCTCTCTCTTTCTCTCTCTCTCTCTCTCTCTCTCTCTCTCTCTTTCTTCCCCTCTCTCTCTCACACATACACACCCTTTTATGCATATACTTATCATGCGCATTGCATTTAGCTTACTTATGTTCTTCTGTTACTTGATAAATGAGGAAGAATGATTGTTAAATAGATTCTTGATTTTTGTTTGTCACTGTTTTTTATTTTTACTTTTTGTATGTGTATACATTAGTCTTGTCATGTGGGATTTAGAATGTAAGATGATTTTCATTATCTTTTTTCTTCAATAATTTTTCAAAACATCATGAGATGTGCTTCAGCGTATTTTCTACTGTCGCAGGGCTCACAAGTATGGCTAGAATACACTGTCCTTCATGGTGATATCAGTGTTCAAGTTCAACATATTACTCCATGTCCCTCATACACACAAGTTCAGACTTATCGGCATTTTTCTACGCTGATGCTTTGCAACGACATTGGCTGCATGATTATATCGGCGTGGGTGGTTGGTGGGTGCTCTGGTGTGGTTTGCTCATTCTTTCCTATCAAATATCTATCAGCCTAATCTCTTCTGCTTCTTTTTTTTTCTTTCTATGTTACTGTCTAGTAACACCTCTAATCTTAGGCACTTATAACTTATAAGACCTATTTGCTTCTCTAATCTTTGGCACTTATAACTTATAAGACCTACTTGCATCGAGCAAGTGCTGTTTAACTTTCACTAAAACTGGTAAAACTATAACTAAACCTGATGGTTTACGTTGCCTATTTTAAAAAGGGATCTTTACTGGGTTGGGGGAGGGGCGAAGAGCATAGTAACTTTTATAGATTCTTACTATCAATCAAACAAATTAAATTAGGAGATAGAACAATGTGCATGAGTAATTGGAGAGTGCCAGTTGTAGTTTGTACTTCTTTTCTTTCCCTTTATTGTTTCTATATCTGTATGTCTTGCTTATTCCTTGCATGAAAGGACCACTATTTTGTCACTGTTCTTCTCTTTACTCAGACAAACAAACAACAGTGTTCTTTGTCCTCACAACTAAACTATACCTACATTCTAAATTCTTAACAAAAACACCTTGAAGTTGAAGTTGAAGTCTCATACACATTGGGACTTTATCCTCATTTTATTTTTACACATATAATTTTGACTGTAGTCTTCTTGTAGTATAGGACCTAAAGCCAGTTATGACTCGTGCTAGCAAGAGTCTTATTGCAAAATAATGTTCCATTATATTATGTCTTTTCGTTGAATTTTTAAAACAATTTACAGTAAACGAATTAGTGAAATTGTCAAAATGTTGTATTGAAATCATGTTTAATTTTCTTTCCTTCTAAGTAATCATAGTAATTGCCTCTTGGTGGTGTATGTAATGGTTGGAAATTTAATTTAATTTTGTTACCCATTTGTTTATTCTGTTTTCAAGCCTCATCTACAAAATACACGTGGGTGGTTGGCGGGTGCTCTGGTGTGGTTTGCTTCTTTTTTCCTATTAAACAACTCGTCTTTATCTCCCCTCCTTTTTTGTGTGTTTGTTACTCTCTAGTAACACCTCTAATCTTTGGCACTTATATGACCGTATTGTGTTGCATGTGCCGTGAAACACTTACTTTTTAAAAAAGACCAAAAAAACACTTACTAAAACAAACAAAATATACAAGTCTACTACTTTCTAACCATGAAATGAGGAAAGGAAGAAAGGAAATAATGTTGCTAATGTAGCGTAGGCCTACTGGTTCAGTCAATGTGA